CGAATATGACGAAAGCGAAGATCATAAACAATCTTCATTCCACGTCACATTGTATTGTAATTTCCCCAAAACAACCAATTTCAATCATTTCTTTTCATTTAAGCAGAGGGCTCAAATTTGGTTTTGCTCAAATGAGAAGAGCAGTGGTGGTTTTTCGGAATTCCCTAATAAAGTATTCTACGGAATTCTAAATGGCCCTTCCCTATTTGGCTGCTGCCGTCCTCTGCAGGTTCGATGTTTATAAGCGGTGATTACGCAAAGCAAGGCTTTTTCCACGTTTAGAGCTTTTCCCTACTATCTAATAGCTAATTTCGTAATGCCACCTTCGTATGTACTTCCAGCTGCAGTAGTGATCTATGGTTTATTTTTGCAGCAAAACAACAACATAGGCAAAACAGAAATCGATGGAGAACTAACCAGTGACAAAGCAACGAGCGACCATGAGCTGCTGCGAGGGTGGGTTTAGTCTCTTAGCATTTTCTACACAATTGGAGGACCAAATAACTCTACATGATCAGTGTCAGTCAAATTCACTAATTACCCACTTCTTCAGCTCCGGTTTCAGCTCTATCTTTCTTCGATTCCTAAACAAAGACCATATATATAACTTTTATATAGACTCTAAACTTCAAAGAATATTCTGTTGCAGAAGCCAAATCTATTCTTGATCCACTTTTTCAACAATATTGGAAAGATTTCTGTGACGCACGTATCGATAAGGTGGGTATTTGTGTTGAAGACCAGTTCAAAATAGTTGAAATTTACAATATTCAAACGTACAAAAATCGCACTAGTTTATCTCTTAGCTATTCTCTTCAGTGACTTTTGTACGCATTAGTAAATTTTCATTTATCAAATGCTATTGTTCTCTCCTCTGAATGGCGAAGATGCTTTTTCGTTTTAAAAAACTGCGGTTCAGTTGAAGTTGCAGTTATTTGATATAGAAAATGCTGCGCACTGTCTACCATTACCTATTTTTATAAGAATAACTTCCACTCGTCAATCAGTGAGTGAAAATAATATTCACTTATTTCATTTAGTATTAAGCCAGCTAAACTAACTATCAGCTTAACTCTTGACGAAGTCTTTCCTTTGATTCACTTTTAGCTTTTGATACTCTATAGCCTCTTTAGACTCTCGAATTTTACCACCCAGATGCCGTTCTTGTTGAAGCTGGAAAGAGTGGCATTTACGGCAAAGACGGTAGGAGAGCTTTACTCATAGCTAATAACTTCAGTTTATCATTTCAGCTATTAAGCAAGAAAAAATCCGCTATAATGAGCATACGGGAAAAGCTCCCATGAAGGTATAGTAGTATCGTCTTCAGATTAGAAATTTGAAGGTGATGATTGATGTACATTTTAGGTTTCTAATGAAAAATATCAGATGACTCCTGACTACATCATATACAATGCCGACTACGAAATCCCTTCGGGTAGATCTGGGACAATGACAGGGAAATTCAGTCAAATTTGGAAGAAGACCAACGACAAATATCTAATCTTGCGAGAAGAGTATTCTGCCACCTAGAAGTATTGACCGAGCACAATTCGCTTACTTTGGTCAAATATTTGTTTTCGTGCGCTTCTTCTGACTACGCTATTATGTTATATGAATTAACATTTTATTGCAAATTTCAAGACATATCCGCCAAGAAGTACACCGATTTTTTCCTTCGTTTTCGACTGTATGCTTCCTTCAGAAAAATTGTTTGTCACGTGTTATCTATCATGCCTATAAACAAACACACAGTATAGCATGTTTGGACTATTGTGCGCTCACACTATTGCCGTACAGGAGTAAACTACCCTTTGTCAACACAACCATGTGATGAAATATAA